GCCATTTTGTTGTTCCCCATTACAATTTCCACAACTTCTGATTATAAGAATCCCAGTGCAGAATCTGAATACAGTATACTGGCACTGTGCCTCAGTACAGAATCCCAGCACTGTATCCTGGCACTGTGTAATAGAACAAATTCCCAGAACTATGTCTCAGTAAGAATCCTAGTGAAAAAAAAATCCCATCACTGTATCACAGTACTGCATCCCAGCACAGAAAAAGTGCTGTATGCAGTATGGTATTCCAATACCTTTGTATTGTATCATAGCATTGTATCTGAGTGCAGTATCCTTGAAGTATTCCTAGTACTTTAACTGAAATTTGGCTTAAAGACTAGCAAGAATGGCAGCTCAAAATCTCTGGCTTTCAGGTGGAATAGAGAAGGGATTAAAACAAAAAGGGGCATAGTAAGATTGGTTTGTGAGGAGAGATGAGGTATCAAATTAAGTATCGAATGAGGGAAACAGAAACAGAAAACGGGCAGTAACTGCAAGGTATATACAATTGGCCCTCAAAAGAGTGGCAAAGAGACAGAGAAGTGAATATGTGTCTGAGCCAAAACTAGAGGGCATAGATTTAAGGTGACAGGGGAAAGATTTAAAAGGGACCCAAGAGGCAACTTTTTCACACAGAGGGTGTTGCGTGTATGGAATGAGCTGCCACGGGAAGTGGTAGAGGCTGGTACAATTACAACATTTAAAAGGCATCTGGGTGGGTACATGAATAGGAAGGGTTTAGAGGGACATGGGCCAAATTCTGGCAAATGGGACTAGATTAATTTAGGATATCTGGTTGGCATGGGTGTGTTGGACCAAAGGGTTTGATTCTGTGCTATACAGCTCTATGACTCTATGACTCTAATAGTTATGGATGTGAAAACTATCAAATATCAACTGGAATGCAAACAGCATGAAAGATACAGAAGGCACAATGTTCCTGGACTGATTTCAAGAGAACCTTTCCAACCAGCTGTTACAAACCTAATGAGAAAGGGGACAACTTGGATTTGGCCTTAGGAAATGAAGCTGGGCAGGTTAATGAAGTAGCAGTGGGTGATCCTTTTGGAGACAGTGATCATAATAGTTATATTTAGCACCATTACGGAAAGGGACAAAGATAGATCAGGGATAAAAATTGTAAACTGAACGAAGATAAACTTTACAAAGCTGAGGAATGATTTGGTACAAGTGTAATTGTTATAGCAACCTGAAGGAAAATCAGCAACTAATTGCACAGTCTAGGCATGTTCCCCCAAAAATAAACCAATGATACTATCAAACCTAGAAGACCCAGGCAGCCCCCTATTTAGCAATGTAAGAGTTGAGATAAATTAGAAAAATAGAGCTTTTGTCAACCTCAAAATAATTAATACTTTAGGAAGATTAGGCTCAAGAAATGTATAGGGTAAAGTGAGAAAGGAATTTAGGAAAACAAAAAGAGCATATGAAAAGATGTTGACAGGTAAAATTGAGGAAAATCCAAAGATACTTTATCAGTACATTAAAGAAAGAGGATGGTTAAGGAAAGGGTAGGGGCTATCAGAGATATACATGGTTCTTCATGATGACTTTGTCTTGTCTTCACAGAGGGCTGATGGAAAACTTCTAGTTAAAGATGAAGTTAAATTTACTAGAAAAATACTAAATACAGTACTAGATAAGATAAACATGATGAGAAGGGAGTACTGGAAAGATTGATCGTCTTGAAGGTGCAGAACCACAAGGGCTGGATGAATTGTATCCTCAGCTGTTAATGGAAGTCAAGGAGGGAATAGTGACTGCTCTGAAGATCATTTTCCAAACTTTACTCAATACAGGCAGGTACCAGAGACTGGAGGTCTGCAAACATTGTACCATTATTGAAAAAGGGTGTGAGGGCTAGGCTCAGTAATTAGAGACTGTCATTCTGACCTCAATGGTGGGCAAATTATTAGAATCAAGACTGAGAGATAGAATGAACTATTCAGAAAGGCACAGATTAATCAGGGATGGTCAGCATGGTTTTGCTAATGGGAGGTCGTGTCTTACAGACTTAATTGAATCTAGAAGATTGATGAGGTAGTGCAGAAGATGTTGTCTACCTGGATTTTAGGAAAGTATTTGACAAGGTCTTGTGTGGAGGACTGGTCAAAAAAAATTAAAGTCAAGTGGATACAGGGAAATGTGACAAATTGGATCCAAAATTGGAACAGTGATATGGGACAATGGACAATGTGTGACAATGTCTTTGCAAATGGCAAGTGGTTTCTAGTGTTGTTCCACAGGGATCAGCGCTGGATCCCTTGCTGTTTGGGTATGTATGTGATGCAGTGGTAACATCCCTACCTTTGAGCCCAGAGGCCCAGGTTCAAGTCCCAAATGCCCAAAGGTGTGTGATAATATTTCTGAACAGGTTGAATAGAAAGCAGTTTAAATTTAAGTATGAGAGGCATGATATGGAAATTTGCAGAAAACACAAGAATTAGCCATACAGTTGATAGTGAAGAGGATGGCTGTTGAGTGTAGAAAGATAGCAAAGGTTTGGCCGAGTGGGTGAAAAAGTGGCAAGTGGAATTCAACCTGGAGAAGTGCAAGATGATGCATTTGGGGATAGCAAACAAAGCAAGGGAGTACACAATAAACGAAGGGTATTGAGGGAGGAAGAGGAAGTGAGATACTTTGTCGTGCATGCCTACAGGTCCACGGAGGTACAAGACAGGTAGATAAGGTAATAAAGCCAACCTATGGGAAGTTTTCCTTGATTGGGTGATGAATTGAATACAACAGCAGAGATGTAATGCTGAAACTATATCAGACGCTGGATAGGTAACAGGCAGATTTTGTGTAAAGTTCTGGTCATGACATTACAGCAAGGATGTAATTGACCTCGGAAAAGTGCAGAGGAGACTTACAGAATATTGCCAGGGCTTGAAAATAGCAGCTTTGAGGAAAGATTGGATAGACTAGGGATTTTATTTCCCCTTTAGAACAGAGGAGGCCGAGGGGATGATTTAATTGTAGCACATTAATTAATGAGGGACTAGGATAGAGTGGACAGGAAATTCTTATTTCCTCTCGTGAAGAGGTCAGTTACCAGGGAAACAGATTTGAAGTGATTGGTGTAAGGCTGAGAGGGGATATGAGGACGAACCTTTTCATCCGTAGGGAGTGGGTGTCTAGAATTCTTAGCCCAGTTTGGTGGTTGAGGTGGAAACACTGAACTCATTTAAAATGAAGCTAGATCTGCACCAGAAACGTTGTAACCTGCAAAGCTACAGACCAGTTACAGAAACATGGGACTGGAATAGTCTATTTAACTGGCACTGTCATGGTGGGCTGAATGGCCTCTTTCTGTGTTATTCTATGGTTCCACTGTTTCCAAATTGTCTTTCCGAATCCTATATCCCGGTACAAAGCTTTGATACAATATCACAGTGTTGAATCATAGTAGTATATCCCAGTATTCTATACTGATGCTCCATCCAGGTACTTTATCCCTGTGCTGCATCTCAGTCCTATGTCCTAGTTTTTTTTTTATTCCAGTGCTGCTAGCTGTTGTTTTATCTTGGCACTTTATCTGATATCGTATCCTAATCTGATACCCTGCGCAGTATCCCAGAGGTACAGCTGTTTTGTTATTCAATCATTGGACTTTGTTGAGTTGGCTAGATCACTATTTATTACCCATCCTTCACTGACCTTGAGAAGGTAGCAGTGAGCTGAATTTCCTATGATGTAAGTGTATGCACAATTGATTCAGGGAGGCCATTCCAGGATACTGTCTCAGAAACGATGAAGGAACAGTGATATCGTTCCAAGTCAGGGTGGTAAGTGGCTTGGAGGGGATTTTTCAGTGGTGGTGATGTTTCCGTGTATTAGCTTCCCTGGCCCTTCTGGATGGTACAGGTCACAGATTTGGAAGGAGTTGCCAAAAGAATCTTTGCAAGTTTCTGTCGTGCATCCTACATATGGTGTACACTGCGTCCACTGTAGGCCAATTTTAAGAGATGGAATGTCTCTGGCAATGCAGGACACCAAACATAAGGGCTGCTTTGTACTGAATGGCATTTACCTACATGTCTATTATTGTCCAGGCAATAGAGATGTATTCCATCATAAGACTTGTGTTTTGTAGATAGTGGAATGATTTTGGGGAGTTGGAGGTGAGTTAGCACTACAAAATTCCCAGCCTCTGACTTGTCTTTGTAGCCTCAGTATTCACATGGCAGGCCCAGTTCAGACTATGGCCAAAGTTGGCCTTCTGTGTGTTGATAGGGGGGGATTTATCAATGGTAATGCCATGGAACAACAAGGGGATATTGTTATGTTTTCTCTTGTTGAAGATAGTTATTGCCTAGCATTCATTTTGTGCAAAATTTACTTGTCATTTATCATCTCAAGCCTGATTGCTAGTCTGCTATTGCCGAATGTGATCATGGAGTGTTTCAGTATCAGAGGAGTCCCTATTCTGGAACTGTATCCCTGTGAGTGCTGCATCTACATTGCAGCCTGGACACTGAGTGTCTATTAACTGGGAGGCGGCGGGGGGGAGGCGGACAGTATGTCCTAGCCTGATTGATTCTTCAGCTGACATTCACACCAGCTTAAACCAGCAGAAAATGGCTGGACAGCGGTCAGGGGTCTAAAGGTCAGCCTTGTTGGACAGGTTTAAGACCAATCCCTTCACAGCTGACAAAACACAATTACCCTGTCAAAGCAATTGAAGAGAGGAGCTGTCAACATATGAGCCCACAGCAGACAGAACCTTCCAGTAGCCTTCAGTGAAATCCACTTGACTATTATAAATCAGTCAATGAAAACAAGTCATGCACCATCTTGAACTCTGCCAATAATGAGATTGCTGCTTAACCTTAAGTATTTATAGAGGCACAATGGACAGTGAGATCAGTAATTGCTCAGTAGGGGTATATTTATAGAACAACAATAGCCTGCGTCCTTGTGTATAAAATAAAGCAGCCAGGGCTAAAATAAACTCCAGACACAACTCTCTCCAGGCAATGGATAGAGACACTGTGCAGCGATCGCAGATATTCCTGGCCTCTGAACAGAACCAGTACTCTTGGCCCTCTTGTGCCATGAAACGTCGGGGTCCAGAGGCCTTCCACCAGGCACTAGTGCACGGTGACCTGAGGCTTCTCAAGGTCATGGTCAGTGAGTATCGTGAAGATGTCAACATGGTCTTCGAGGTCTGCACCAAGGAAATGGAGTGGCAGGCAAAACCGGTGGCCCTGGGGGTTTCAGGTAACCATTGGCTGTGACCTCCTTGGTTTTAGTACAACTCAGTGTTGAATTCACAACATGGAATTTAGCCTTATGGCTTGTCGCCTGTGTGTAATATTGGCACCTGTGTATAATATTGGCATTGTGGATTGAGTGGTCATGGTAGCAGTTTTAAAATTCATTCATTGTATGTGAGTGTTTATTGACTGTAATTAATTGCCCATGAGAAGATAATTGGAGCCACCTCCACTGCAGATTGTGTGGCGCAGTGCCATCAAGACAAGGGTTTCTGATTTTGGTCCAGTGACAGCGAAGGAACAATAATATATTCCCACATCAGGATGTTGTGTGCCTTAAATAGATGGCGGTGTTTCCATGTGTCTACTTTTCTTGTCTGTGGAAATTGTGGGCTTAGACAGTGCTTGCTGAGTTGCTGCACTACATCTTTTTGTTGGCTTGCACTGCTGATACTGTGCACTGGTGGTGGAGGGAATGAACGTCGAAGGTGGTGGATGGGGTGCCAACTAAGTAGAATACTTTCTGGTGTCAACTTCTTAGGTGTTGTTGGAACCATACTTCTCTGGGTTAATGAGGAATATTCCGTCACATTCCTGACTTATGTCTAAGAGACGGTGGACAGGATTAGTGGAGTCAGAAGGGGAGGTAGTTGCTAAAGAATTCCAATCTCTGACCTACTCTTGTGAATAATGGAGGATTTAATAATGGTAATGCCATTGAATTTCATGGAGACAGGGTTAGAATCACTCTCGTTAGAGGTGTTCATTATCTGGAAATTGTGTATTATTAATGGTCCTTTTCATTTATTCATCCAAGCCTCAATGTTCAGGTCTTGCTACATTGTCTCAGAAGTACAATCATCAATGAACATCCCAAATTCTGACCTAATGATGGATGAGATAGCATTAATGAAGCAGTTGAAGGTAGTTGGTTTTTGGACACTAATCTGAAGACTTTTTGCATCGCAGGGGCTGACATCATTGACTTCTTTTGTAGTAGATATAATTCTAGTCAGTGAAGAGATTTCCCTTAAGTCCCATTGCCTCCAACTTTTTTTGGGAACCATTAAAGCCATTCATTCATTAGCTTGTTGTTTTCCATTGCTTCATCCTGAGCTGTTTCACTTGGTGGAATTTGTCAGTGGTGGCTTGCCATTGCCTTCCACTCTCGGGGGCAGAATGAGGAAGCAGACCCCAAATCTACCACAGCCAAAATGGGAATTGAACCTGTGCTTTTGCCATTATTCTGAACTGCATGCTAGTTATTTAGCCAAATGATTTAAGTCACCCCCAAACCCCTCTCTCACAAACTCCACAACCACCATCATCCCCCATTTAAGACATACTGGATCAAATCCTGCCTTCATTTCAGGGGCAGTCTCTCTCAAATCACCTTTGGAATTCAACTCCTTTGTCTATTTGAATCAAATCTCTAGTGACATCAAGGGTCAATTGCCCCTGCTTGAACTCAAACTGACCATCAGGGGAGCAGGTTAATGTTTTATAGCACTGTTGACAATACCTTCCATCTGCTGAAGATCAAACATGAATTGATATGGCAATTGGCCTGTATAGAACAGTCCTGCTTATTATGGACAGGAAACACATGGGACAGTTGTTAATACTGATAATTAGATGACTGTGTTGAAGCTGTACGTGGAACAGTTGGGTTATAAGTATGACTTAGGCATGCAGCACAATTCTTCAATGCAACACAGGGAGGTCAGGACCCTGTCTGTATCCAGTGCTTCAGTAGTTCAGTAAAGATGTCACTGGATGCCCACATATGTTCCTGACTTCATATCAGTGTAAATTTAAAACTTCAATTAGTTGGACATCACTTAGTTTTGCAAATATCTGCCACCAAGATATTGGAATCTTTTATAGACAGCCATTTTTGCTACCATAGTGTGAGCTTGTCTCTTACAGTGTGCTTTACTTGATACAGTAATTCTTATGTTATCTCCCATATCCCACAGATATCTTGGTATTGAAGAATTCAAAAGAATTTTATGACACTTTATTATTACTTATTTATATGTTTATTATATACAAATATTACATTTCTCAGGCATAAAATTCTCTGGGTTAGTATTAAGCTATCAGTTACAATAGAGTGGCGTATCTATCATGATTCAAGTGATTTAAGATAATATGGAAAACCATTTCAATAAAATAAATTATTACAACATCATAGCCATCAAACATATAGAGATAGAGGGCTCCTCCAATATTTGTAAACAATCCTACAGATTTCAAGGCATTGGTGAGTCTTGGAGCTCAGCCAGATACACAATGAGGCCATCTGGGAAAGAGGTGTTGGAGGCTGAGGGGTGAACTTACAGAAGTTTATAGAATCATGAGGGGCATGGATAGGGTGAATAGCCAAGGTCTTTTTCCCAGGGTCTGCTGGTGGGACCTCTTTCATCCTGTCTATAACTTACACCAAGGCCTCCAGTGGGGTGGCATGGTGGCTTACAGCACTAGGGACCTGGGTTCCATTCCATCCTTGGGTGATTGTGGAGTTTGCACATTCTCTTCGTGTCTGTGAGGGTTTGCTCTGGCTTCCTCCCACAGTCCAAAGATGTGCAGGTTATGTGGGTTAGCCATGGAAAATGCAGAGTTATAGGGTCAGGGGATGGGTTTGGGTGGGATGCTCTTGGGACGGTCAATGTGGACTCAATGGGCCAAATGGATACATACGGTATTAATATGCTACACGTACTTACACTATGGGGATTCCATATAACCATGGAGCACACTGTCTGCAAGGTTGAACCATTTTTTCAGCATTCTTCCCACTCAGACTATCTTCCCATAGCCTCTTCTAGCACTTGCAGCAACAAAAATGAATCTTCCCCGAAAGTGGTGTCGACCTTTCATGATTATTCCCTTAGTGCTGAGGTATGCAGCCACTCAGCAGCATACACTTAGCTCTGATGTTCCTCTCGTGGTAATGAGCAGGCAGCACAAAGTTTGTGCATCAGAAGAACTGCATCCACAACCTGAGCTACAAATCTACTCCAGAACATCAGATGAACTGGGTCACTGTGGTTCTCAATCCTCATAGACCCTCTTTAGCTCTTATCAAGTGTCATGGCCAAGAATTTCCCAAGCAGAGAGTCGAAAATTTAATTCATTGCCTCCCTTGATGTCCTCAAAAGAACAATTCAGGTGCAGCTACACAGTTTCAGATAGATTTCCAATAGCAGGGCCAAAGGCAAGTTTAGACAGTATCTGAACCCCATCCTGACCCCCGTCCTGAATCTTATGCACTTTCACAAGCATAGATTGCAGCAACCTGACTGTCAGCACAAACTCTACCTAACATTTATCTGTCTGAACCCTATGGATGCTGAGGGCACTTTTCATGGCCCCCAAGGTGTGGTTAATTAACTGGGTCAGGGGCACAACCCAGGACTCTCTTGTCTTAGTCCTCCCTCCCTCCCCCCCCCGCCCCCTTCGCCCCCCATCACTATGATGTGCAATGGTCGGCTGGTCTCTCCATCTCTTTAGAAAGTCGAATTGTTTGAACACAGGGAGCACCGGGCAGAGTGAAGGACTCAGGAGAAGGGAAAATGTTTGATCAGAAGAGCTGGAGGATGGAGGAGAATGATGGTTGTGGGTGAGGCTGAGGGGCAAAGTCATAGGGAGCTCTCCATAGTGATCGGCAACAAAGCATCGGAACAGAATCATTCCCTTGTAATTTATTTCTCATCATGCTTTGCTTCACAGCGTCGTTAAGTGTAGCGAAGATATTTCCCCATTCAGGATCATAGACTGCAAATTAGCTATCGACAAATCTGATTGGGAATTCAAGAGAAACTCTTTTATCCAGAAGGTGGTGGGCATGTGAAATTTGCAACCAGGTGGAAGTGGTGTGGTGTTGCTGCCTCACAGTGCCAAGGACCTGGGTTTGATTCTAGTTTTGGGTGATGGTCTGTGTGGAGTTTGCACATTCTCCCTGTGTCTGCATGGGTTTCTTCTGCGTGCTCTGGTCTCCTCCCACGGTCCAAAGATGTGCAGGCTAGGTGGATTGGCCATGGTAAATTGCCCGCAGTGTCCAGGAATGTGCAGGCTAGGTGGATTAGCCATGGGAAATGTAGCGTTACAAGGATAGGGTAGGTGGGCCTGGGTAGGATTCTCCTTGGAAAGTCAGTGTGGACTTGATGGGCAGAATGGCCTATTTCCACACTGTAGGGATTCTATGATTAAGAGGAAGAATGTAACTGACAGCGGGTCAAATGAAGAGACGCAGGAGTAGTGGAGTGAAGAATGGACCAATTAAATGGTTTGTTTTAATCTAGTTAATGCTACAGAATGGCCTGTTTTAGTATAGTTAATGCTGCAGAATGTGTTCTTGCATCATGCTTACAAATCAGACTCAAAGATTTCCAATTCACATCTAAAAAGAAACACAAAATTCTACAGAACTGAGTTCTGAGGAGGGGTCACCGGACCCGAAACGTTAACTCTGATTTTCTTTTCACAGACGCTGCCAGACCTGCTGAGCTTTTCCAGCAACTTCTGTTTCTGTTCCTGATTTACAGCATCCGCAGTTCTTTTGGTTTTTACAAAATTCTACAGCATGGTTACATTACCTTCTTTTCCACTGCTCAGTTAGTATTATAACTGTAACACCCTCAAACAATATCTTATCATTATATAACAGCTTCTGCACAGGATGCTTCACAGGAGCAATTATCACTCTTAAATTTGACACAAAATTTCAGATATAACTGGTGAGACAGGTTTTCTGGAGCATCTCTTAAGGAGGAGAGAAAGAGAGAAAGATAGGGAAACAGGGAAGTCTAGGGAGGGAATTCCGGAGCTTAAGACCTAAGCAAATGAAGCAACTGCATTAAAACCATAACTGGGGTCTCCATGCCTTCAATAGAAGAGCTGGAAAGCTTGTTGTAGTAAGGTAATAAACATTTATTTGATATTTACACAATTTACAAGATAGATATTTGCAGGATTTCATGAGAAACTCTTCCTCACAGTTTCCAGCTGAATTTGATCTGACCTCACTGGTGATAAACTCCACCAATTAGCATTAAAGTTACTAACTCTTTATAATGCAACCATGATCACCAACAAGACAGCAAGGATAGTTAGAAGTATGTGCAGATATCTCAAAGGGATTTAGATCTGGAGGTCTGAAGGAGATGATGGTGTAGGAAGGCATGACAGGATTTGAAAAAAAGTTCAAATTGAAGCCTTTTTGGACTGGAATACAACGTAGGCCCGAAGTGATGGGTGAATGGGAATTACTATGAGTATGGGCTATGGAGATTTGGATGCGAGGTGGACATAACCATAGTCTGTAATAATTATAGCCACGCACAGTGTAATTCACTGCTGCACCAAAGATAAAACTAATATTCAAGTTTACCATGTATTCAGGCATATACATTTCAGGAGTGACAGCAGAAACAGTGACTGCAAGTCTGAGACGACATTGGAAACCCTTTCTCTCATTCTGTCATGGGACGTGGGTGTCTAGCATTTATTGATTGCCCTAGTTGTCCCTGAGAAGGTGGTGGTGAGCTGCCTTCTTGAGCCGCTGCAGTCCATGTGCTAAAGTGTGGGCATCAATGATTGCCATCCAGGTACCTACCAATAATCCAATGGCATAGTTTAATAGGAAGGGCTATGATTCCATCAATATAACATGGCACTGTATATTCATTATATAATTGTATCAACCACACATTCCCATCTTTTCTTCTAGTTTAGTGGCTCATTAGATGCTTGCAAAGTATGAAATGGGCTTGGAGACACACAATGACTGGTAATTTTTCTAAAGATTCCATTACCACTTTCACATCATACAAAATCAGATGTTATTAAATCAGTAGCATTTTCATTTGGTTCGGACAAATTAAAGACAAAGTTAGGATTAATTGGACCAAATGATGACGTTATCCCTCCCCCCTCCCTTAAATGCAAAGCCTGTGCCTCTCTTCGGTGCTCACTTACTGTTTTGGCGAATATATCTGACCTTGCACCATTCACAAGGGTTGAAGATGACTCCAAAAGAAATAGAAAATTAGTAAAGATTATCAAGAAAGCAAGAAAGCAAACTGACTCTTCCCAAAGCCTAGAGAGTACTTTCGTCAGACGGTATAATCATTTCTACCCGAGATGTATTTTTTTAAAAGAAAATGCCTAAAATAAAAACTATTGCAAGCTGCAAAACAAACATTCAACATTTTTTTAAGATGGCAAGTTACCAAGCGTCTTTTGTGGAATACATTATTTGCTTATATAATAAATGGTTGTTTAATTTATGTATCAAATTGAAACTAAAACTGACCTCAATATTGGGTTTTTGCCATTCTGTTTGTTTTTCTTTTGATCTCCGGTATATGCATTTTCAGATGCCTATTTTGTTTTTCTTTACCCTTTCATGGGGTGTGGGTGTCACTGACAAGGTCAGTATCTGTTGCTTATCCCTAATTTCTCTTGAACTGAGTGACTTGCTGAGCAATTTCAGAGGTCAAATTAACCCATTGCTACGGGTTTGGAGTCAGATGTAGACCAAACTGGACAAAGACGACAGATTCCCTTCCTGAAGGATACTAGTGAGCTGGATGGGATTTTACAATAATCGATGATAGCTTCATGGTCATCCATCCCTGAGACTAACTTTCAATTCCAGGTTTTATTAAATAAATTTAAATTCCAACAGTAGCCATTTGAACCCAAGTCCCCAAAGAATTAGCCTGGGCTTCTGAATTATTAATACACCGCCCCCACCATTGGGTGGGTGGCATTGCATGGCTTTGCTTTTGGCCCCTGATTTGATACCACTGATGGTGGGAGAAGTTGGAAATCAATTTCCACTGCCACCCAGCCCTACCATGGCCTGGTTTAGGTCAGTCACTGAGGCAGGCTAAAGCCTACGCTCTACTCCTGGTCCAGACGAAATCCTTTCCCAAAAGGAATTGGTGCTCAGATAGAATCATGCTCAAACCTCTGAACTACTTCAGTGTAAAATAAAGTGCATGGACAAATGCTAAAATTTCCACCATCAACTTTGTCAAACAGAAATCCTTGTTACGTAAATCATGCAAAATTCCAAAGCCAAAATCATCGAGGGAAGTGGTAATGTCACTGGATGAGGACTGCCAATGCTCTGGGGTGTAAGTTCATATCATATCATGGAAGCTGAAGGACTTGGAAATAAACTATTAACTCTGGAATACGGTGGTGACCATAACAACTATCACTGATTGTTTTTAAAGCCCATCTGGTTCACTATTGTCTGTTTCCAGGGGGCAATCTGTCCTTACCTAACCTTGCTGACATGTGACTCCATACCCACGCAGTCGTTGACTCTTTCTTAAGTGGCCTAGAAGGCCTAGAAGGTGATGCCAGGGCAGGCATCCAAATGTTTTGTCAAGCAGTTAAGTATTGAGGATGGCATTAAAGCAGGAGAGAGAGTGAGGGGGAATCTGGGACTCTGATGCATCTGAAAGCAGGGACACATATGGTGATGTCAAAGAAATTGGGGACACAGAAGGAGAGTTGATTGAAGGGGAACAGATATCTTGGATCATCAGAAAACTGAAAGAGGAAAGAGGTTTAAAAGAGGACAAACTGTCAAAATAGTAAAAGTATCGCTTTTGTGGTATCTTTTCCACTGTCTCATACACCGGGTGAATTTTGATATTGTAAATTGTTGACATCTCCCATTGTAAAAATACATCTGTCTACCACAGCTCACACTACAACATATTTTCGTGTACAGCAAGGAGCCTGTTGTAGTGTTAAATTGCGACATAATTAATTTACTTAAAATTGGCGAATGCCCCAGGGCTGTATATCATAATAATTAAAAAGTGTTCATGATAATGAGCTGGAGGATTATTCGAGGCAGACATTTACACTAATCCTGGTGTGTTTAATTACCATTAGTGCTCACTATCCCATTTTTTATGTGCAAAGCAGCAGATCCTCCCATTTGCAAAGCTGACTGAGTCAAGTGCAGTGTTAGATAGGAACTGCCAACTGGAAATGTGTAAACCTTATAATCAGACTTTGAGGTACTTTAAAGCTTTTGCAGTTTTGAGACCAGAGACTATTAATTGTCCATTTGAAAGGCAGTGAAAAATCCCAATGTCTGTTGAGGTTGGGGTGATAGATGGCTGAGTTTTAAGGATTATGGAACCAAGGCGGGTAAATTTAGCAAATAAAATTTAATTAAACTTTCAGAACAGAACAGAAATTCACCAAAGGTTCTCAGACAGCACCTTGCAAACCTACAACCACTTCCATCAAGAAGGACAAGGGTAGCAGGTATATGGGAGCACCACCACCTTTAAGTTCCCTCTCCAAGCTACTCACCATCCTGACTTGGAAATTTATTGCAGCTCCTTCACTGTCGTTGGGTCAAAATCCTGGGATTCCCTCCCTAATGGCATCGTGGGTCAACCCACAGCAGGTGTACTGCAGCAGTTCAAGAGGGCTGCTCACCACCACCTTCTCAAGGGCGACTGAGGACGGGCAATAAATGCTGGCCAGCCAGCAGTATCAATATCCCACAAATGAATAAATAAATAATTAAATGGCAGAGTAAGCTTGAGGAGTTGAATGGCTCACTCCTGGTCCTATGTGCAGATATTGTGTTACTTATGGTCCATACAATCGTTGCTTCCCAGAATCGATCCCCAGTGTGCAATAACATGCCTAGGATTGGGATTGCTGCTACTAGCATGGGTTTCCGTCTAGTTTGACGTAGCACAGAAGATTATCGAGCTGGAAGAAGCTACAGAGATAAGGGGAGGCAGGGCCATTGGGGGGGATGGTTTTAGCCATGAAGGGATTTAAATACAAGGATGAGATTTGTAATATCATGGAATTAAGGAATTAACCAAAATTAACCTGGTTGACATTCATTGCCTGAACTCACATATTCACATCCTTGATAACAAGGTGTAGAACTGGATGAACACAGCAGGCCAAGCAGCATCAGAGGAGCAGGAAGGCTGACGTTTCGGGCCTAGACCATTCTTCAGAAAAAAAATTCACATCCTTGGGTGAGTTAAATAAAGGGCACCTGACAACTTGAAACACTGAAAGCATATCTTGTTGTGAGTAATCATATAGATGAAAGGGAAGAAGGTGTAAGGTCAGTGACCACTCCTTCTCACGGGCACTGAACTTTTCACTCTCTTGTAACACTGCAGGTCTCTGGTCTCTGGAGTACAAGCAAGAGCTGACCAGCCCCCTCTGCATCGCTGCAGGACACGGCTATACTGACTGCCTGCAGTATCTGCTCCAACGAGGGGCCAAGCCCAATATGATTGTGGGGACCAAGAACGCCCTCCATGCAGCCTGCGAGAATGCACACACGGATTGTACGCAGCAGCTGCTAGAACATGGAGCTAACCCCAGACTGCTCACAGAGGACGGACTGTCAGCCCTGCACCTCTGCAACACCGCACAGACCTTTCGGTGAGGGCAACATGGTGGCAGCTAAAGGGCTGAAAGAAAAATGTTACATTCATATAGCACCTTGCTCTATATCATGGTTTCCCTCGGTGTTTAATAGGCAATTGAATACTTTTGAATTAGTCACTGATGGTCTCTTATGGCAGAATGGTTGAAAGGCTAAGGGCCATTGGGATCCAGAGCAATGTGGTAAATTGGATCTAAAATTGGCTTATTGGCAGGAAACGTAGGATGATGTTCAAATGGTGTTTCTGTGACTGGAAGCCTGCATCCAGTGGCATAACCACAGGGCCTGGTGCTGGGTCCCTTGCTGATTGCAATGTTGCAGTAATGATGTAGACATGAATATAGGAGGTTTGATTCTTAAGTTCACAGATAACACAAAAATTTGTGGTGTAAATAGCAGGGAGGAAAGCCTTAGACTAGACGACAATATAGATGAGCTGATCAAATGGACTGAAAAGTGGCAAATGGAACTTAATTCTGAAAAGTGAAACGTGATACATTTTTGAGAGGACTAACAAGACAAGGGAGCACATGTTGAATATAAGGTCCCTAGGAAGAACAAAGGATCAGAGACACCTTGACATACATCTCTGCATTGGGAGGTGATGGCCTAGTGCCATTATTGCTAGACTGTTAATCCAGAGACCCAGATACCATTCTGGACCTGGGTTCGAATCCTGCTATAGCAGATGGTGGAATTTGAATTCAATAAAATATCTGGAATTAGGGGTCTAATGATGACCGTGAATCCATTGTTGATTGTCAGTAAAACCCATCTGGTTCACTAATGTCCTTTAGGGAAGGAAATTGCCATGCTTACATGGGACTCCAGACCTATAGTAATGTGGTTGACTTTTAAATGCCCTCTGGGCAATAAATGCCAGCCTAGCCAGTGATGCCTACATCCTACAAATGAATAAAAAAAGACAAACAGTCCAAACACCATAGCATACAAGGCCAATTGCTGGAAAACGGGACTAGAATAGATGGGTGTTTGATGACCAACGTGGACACGACGGGCCAAAAGACTCTTAATAAGAAACACAGCATCCAAACTGAACAGAACCACTCCCACAGCCAACATTGTGATATTGGGTAGAAAATCTGTTGGTTGTGAAGTAAGTATTGGCCAGATTATCATAGGCATTTCTGTTCAGACATAGTGCCATGGGATATTTTACATGAGAGATAAGGTAGGGCCTCAGTTCAACATCTCACTGGAAAGTTGTCATTTCCAACAGTGCAGCAATTCCTCAGTTCTGGACTGGAAGTGTTGGCCAAAGATTTGTGCTCTAGATTTTGGAGTTAATCCTAATCTCTGCCATAATTAAAATTGCATGGGTGAATGGGATATAAGTCAATGTTTAGTAAGATGGAAAATTAGTTATTGGAAAATGCAACATTTAGAGACAATGTCACACAGGGTGGACAGGATACAAATCTTTCACCAGTGGAATGTAGGTTGGGTCAGTCTCAAGCCAATGAGTACCTAGTAAATATAGGTCCACAGAAAAATTAATCTCTATAATTCAACATAACATTTTCCCTGCAGAAGTTGTATCATCATGGGGTTAATTTTTATTTTCAAAAATAGAGGATCTTAGTTGTCACCTTTCCCCACGATAAGGACTGCCACCTAATATTAAGGAAATAACGGTAAGTCTTGCATTAGAAAGAACAAATCAATTTGTCCCAATCCCGTGCGTTTCCTCCATTATCCTGCACATTTTCCCTTTTCAAATATATATACAATTCTCTTCTGGGAGTTTTTATTGAATTTGTTTCCAAAGTCCTTTTGAGCAATGCATTCCAGATGCCGATGCCTCATTCAATAAATCACCTCCTCACTCTCTGATTCTTTTGCCAATTATCTTAAATATATGTCCATTGTTAATCTGTTCTCAGCTTGTAGTTGAAGATTGTTAATAGGACCGTGGTGCTCAGATTGTCAACCTTTCAAAATTGGGCTGGAGCTTCCTAGTAGCAGCAAGCAAACCTGACAGATAAAAGAAGAGGCATTTTAAAAGTTTGTGCACTTTTCCTGCATTTTCTTTGATCGCTTTCATTGATAAAGTTTGAAGAATATTGGACCTAATTTGACTGGCAATCAAGGGTTAACCAATTGAATAACAGAGCCTATTCATGTTCCACAAGGTTTATTTCAAAGGGAAGAGAGTATGAAAGTATGGAGGTTTTGCTAAAACTATGCAAGACGCCAGTCAGACCACAGATGGAATACTGTGGACAGTTGTGGGTCCCTTATCTATGGAAAGATATACTGGCATTGTAGACATCCAAAGAAGATTCACTAGACTGAAACCAGCTATTAAGAGACTGTTTTAAGAGAAGGGGTTGAGTGGATTGGGCCTGTACTTATTAGACTGCAGACAAATGAGAGGAGACCATATCAAAACATACAAGATTCTTCAGGGAGTTGACAGGGGAGATGTGGAAAGGTTGTTTCCCCTCATGGGAGAGTCTCAGGCGAGAGGGCATAATCTCAGAATAAGGGATTGCCCATTTATAACAGAGGTCTTTGGTGGCGCACCATGATGTTGGACATTTCAGGCGGCCAACAGGAGGTGTGTGATGGTGGCCCGGTTGTAGGCTGGAAGTCATGGTATGAAACCTCTCAGAGCACGTTCAACACGAACTAATCATCATCTAACTCTGAAAACAGAAACAGCTCCCTGTGTCGGTGATTACCACCAATCCAGCTCATTTTGTGTAGGACATTTACACAAAGGCAGCAAATGGCAGAGATTTTGATCTTGCCAACCCAGGCTGGATTTAATTTGATTTCTCTTCAAAGAAGAGAATATGGTTCGGAGATTTGCTAGACATGTTCAAACTCATGAGGGGTCCGGACAGGCTGAATAGGGAGAAGGTGCTCCCACTGGTGGAAAGAGGCAGTGAGTTAAGGTGACTGCTAGAAGAAGCAATAGCAAAATGATAAGAAATATTTTCCAAACAAATGAAAGATCTCCTTCTTTGTGGGAACCGTTCTACAAATGCCAGAGATGAGAACCCTCCAACAATCAGCCAGAGTTCTAAATTTCAGTACGGGATTTGCCCCAGTTCAGTAGCACAATGGGAGCACACCTTTCATGTGCAGCTAATCCATCAACAATAACAACTTGCATTCATTTAGTGCCAATGTCCCAAGAGGCTTCACAGGAGTCTATCAAACAAAGGTTTACACTGAGCCACACAATGAAAATTAGGACTGATGATCAATAAAATGAGTCAACAAGCTAAGTTTTAAGAAGTTTGATGGGTGGTACAACGGTTCAGTGGTTAGCCTTGCTATTTCACAGCACCAGTGACCCGGGTTCAATTCCAGCCCTAGGTGACTGTCTGTGTGGAGTTTGCACATTCTCCCCGTGTCTGCGTGGGTTTCCTCTGGGTGCTCCGGTTTCCTCCCACGGTCCAAAGATGTGCACATTGGCCATGCTAAATCATCTATTGGTGTTCATGGGTATGCAGGTTAGGTGGATTCGCCACGGGAAATACAGGCTTATGGGGATAGGGTGGGGTGTGGTGGGTCTGGATGGGATGCTCTTCGGGGGTTCGTTGTGGATTTGATGGGCCAAATGGCCTGCTTCCACAGTGCAAGGATTCTATGGAGTGAGAGAAGGGTGGTGACCTTAGGTAGGAAATTCCGGAGCTTGCTGATAATGAAGCAGGGGAGTAATACCATTCTCGGGTTGCCTTCCCTCCATCTAGGTGCGCAAAGCTGCTGCTGAAATACCGTGCGGACGTCAACCAGTTGACCGAGGACTTGGAGAGTCCCTTGCACGTGGTGGCCAGGCAGGGCCTGCACAACCATGTCCATCTCTATCTAAGGTACGGGGCCGCCGTGGACGCCATGAACGTCCACCGGGAATCACCGCTCGGGAGCGCCTGCGGCCACGCGTGGAGCCCGGAGAGTCAGGAAGACTACCTCCAAGTGTGCAAGGTCCTCATCATGTACGGCGCCGACGTGAACTCTGTGGACGACGAGACCCGCAGCCCGCTGCACAAGGCATCCAAGAATGCCAGCCTCCAGCTGGTGCACCTGCTGCTGAAGTACAAAGCCGACGTCAATGCCATTGACTACAATGGGTGCTCGCCCCTCACCAACGTGATCCAGACAGCACCTTTTAAGGAAGAACTCAATCCCCACCGCACCGTCCAAACCTTACTCAACCATGGCTCCCGCAGGGTGTGGCCTGCTGCCTTCCCCAAGGTAAAAGTTGTACACCACATACAATGGAACCTGCTCGGGGACAGGCGACTATGACGTGGAAACTTAAACTAGGATGAGCATTGGTCTCCACTAATGCCTCTCCCATAACTGCCCCATCGTAGCGTGCCCACAACAACAACTTAAAATTCTACAACACCTTTAACATAATAAAAGTGGTGATCAAATAAACTTTATCACCAAATTGCGTCAGGAGACATTGGGTCAGGCGTGCAAACATTTGGTACAGCACATGGGTTTTAAGGAGCATCACAAAGGCGGAAATCAAGGTAGACGGACATAGAGCTTTAAGGAGAGAATTTCTCAGTTAAGGGCCTAGGAAGTTGGAGTCACAGCCACCAATGTTGGAATGATTGAAGTAGGAGATTCTCAAGAGGCCAGAATTAAAGGAGCATCTTGGAGGATTATACAGCTGGAAGAGTTTACGAAGATGGGAAAGCATGGGACCATGGAGGGATTAGAAAACAAGGAAGAGAATTTTAAAACTGAGGCATTACCAGACCAGAAGTCAATAAAGGTCAGCGAGCACAGGGGTGAGGGGTCAACAGAACTTGATGTGAGTTAGGTGCAGGCGCTGGTGCATCCATTCCCAATGCATTTGGCTCCACTATCTCGTATTGTAGATTTACATCGAAGCTGTTGCACTCTTTAGTGTCTTCTCTGTGTCTCAAACTTTACTTTGCAAAACCTGCCCAATGACTTGGCCCAGTTATCAGCAGTTGGCTTGGCAAGGCCTGCATTCAAGTGGTTGTGGTGTTTAGGTGAAACTCTGCTTCACAATATTTTCCTCATTTCTCCAAAACACGTTGGTTTATGCTGCAGTCACCAGCAGCTCATGCCAATGATCACTGCCAATGTTTGGAATTTACGTGATATTGAATTTCTCTTAAGACACTTTGTCCAAACTAAATAGATCACGAAGGAAGCATTAGACTAGAATATAGAGGCTGGCCAGGAACACTAATCCTGGCCTCCTTTCCTTCTCCTTAACATTAATCATGAAGATTACTGTCGTGCTCCAACTGTAAAGGTAGAGTTCTCATTGTCTGACCAGACCATAGGGCAGCTCTCTCTTTAGAGAGAGGCAACTGATGGTGGTTTATCCTGCAGGTCACAATGTTTCATTCGAAGCAAGGTTGAGAAGGAGAGTCCTTCATGGTAACGTCAGCAGGCACAGGAAGTGAGCCCACACCTTTGGCATCTCCCTGTGTAGCAAACCAGCTGTCCAGCCAACTGTGCTGTTGGCGTTGCAGCTAGTGCTTTGAAAAAGGCCAATCTACTCAACATCAGCCACCCTACTGAAGCCCTTCTCAAGTGATGAGCCATTACTGATTCCGCGAATACGCCTCAAAAATAAAGTCATGGCTCAAAGCCAAACGAGCCCACGGTTTGGATTTTGCCATTCCCTAACATGTTGCCCCCTCGGCATGATTTTTCCTGAGGTTGCATCTCAGGGAACTAGGCTTCCAACCAGGAAGAAGGGGACATCAAATGAACTCATTATAACATTGGTGGCACGACCTATTTTCTCAGGTCTACAATATTCCCAACAGCGCTCAGGTCCCACACTGTGTTAGACCCTCTCCCAAGCAGTTGAGTTGGCTGTGACATTGGGTGGACATTCAATGACGCTTCTGTGGGGCAATGAGTAAAGAGGAGCTATGGACTGCTACAGACATGTTAGTGAGGAAATCCAGCTGTCATACTCAGAATGCTGAAAGGGAGCGGGGATGGGAGGGTGATTGGCTCTGTGCTTAGTCATGGTCACAATGAGGTACCAACGTATCTAAGCATCTAAAGAGCTTGTTACTGTGGATGTGTTGGGATAGTGGGTTGGGGGGGGGTGTTGTTATCTAATGAGAACTAGTCTGGAGCAGTGATAAGAAGCAACATTCACAGCAACATAGACAGTACCATGGTACTGAAGGAAGCGGTGGTGCTGTCCTCTCTGGCCAAGGCTCCTCAGTTTTGCTGGCTAACTTCCTCATGTTGCAGTATATTGTTGGCTCTCACTGCCTCTGGCATGAGCTACAGGTGCAGAGAGAAGGGGGTCTGTTGGTGTTCGGGTAACATCGCTTGATCATGGAGGTCACCATACTTCAGCAAATGACCATCTTAATGTGCTGACAGCCTGCTCCCTCAGGCCTGACACTTGCTGCATCCACTTTGAAGACAGATGGACACCTTTTCAACAGCTGCCCACCACCACAACCAGCTCCCATCTCCTGACCATACTTGGCCACTCCGAATGGGATTGATAGTGTAGAAGCTGCCCGTTAAATGGTCATGTCACACAAAATGCTGGAGCCCTCTGGCCCCCAGCGGGGTAGAGAACCCAAAGAATTCATCAAGGTCCGGTCCCCATCAGCGGATAATAAAAGAAAATCCTGCATTTCAATAGCACCTTGTACCAGCTAAGGACATCCCAGAGTGCCTTACAGCCAGTTACATCATTTGGAAGCATAGTGGCTGGTGTAATTTAAGTACAGCAAGCTCCCACCAACAGCAATGTGATTGCAACCACATATTCTGTTTTTTAGAGATCTTGGTTAACATAGGCCCAGACTCCAGGGAGAAATTTATTGCTAGTCTTTGACATATTGCCTTGACTTAACTTCGCATCTGCAAGATAATGATTCCATCGTTGAAGCACTCCTCAGTGCTGCACTGGTGGCGCTAGCCTGAATTTTCACTCACACCCCTTAGAAAAGGATTTGAACCCAACTTTTTGTCTCCAAGGCAAGAGGGCTACCCACTCAGCCAGGGATCCTTCGTGCAAGGCTGGAGTCACGCTCAGTGATATTATCCGCCAGTGCCTAATATTCGGCCAATATTCATTACCTTGGTTCACACACAACAGACACAGGCAAAGAGATGAACCTTGGCTGGCATCAATGGATCTATACAGAGACCTCTTCAGGACAGGAGGAGTGAAAATCTGAGCTGTCCATAATAGCTTAGTACCCTGTATCTCACAGGGGAGTAGGTTCACCGAATCACAGAAATGTTATTGTGCAGAAGGAGGCCATTTGGCCCATTGTGCCTCCTGCACTGATTTGTTAAATGAGCATCATTACCTAGTGCCAATTTTCTGCTTTTTCCCCATACACTTGCACATTTTTTTTATCCAAATGATCATCCAGTGCCCTCTTGTATACCTCCACCACACATCCAGACAGTGTATTCCACACCTTAATTACTCACTGAGGGAAAAAAAGCTTTTTCTCGCTCCATCCTTGCTTCTTTTGCAGGTTATAGAGACGTGTAGAGAAGTTGTGGACTGAAATGTTTGAATTTAGCTAAGAGATGGGTGAATCTGTGACTGTTACGTTTCACGAGTCACTTGCAGGATGTTGTTTTGCTCCCTAGGTGCTGAAAAGCTGTGCAGGTTCTCCCAAGACGATTGAGGTTTTGTTTAATTCATATCAACAAATCCAAGTGACTGAAGAATGGATGGAGGCGGTCCCAGAGGAATTATTCCAGGTAGCAGCTCATGCAGAGCTCCCCAACAGGCTCTGGTGAAATATGATGGAATTGTACAACAGAGGGGAGCACTGTTTCTGTGTTGGTTCTCTCGTGGAGTTGCCCAATTTACCTCATTCAAATGTATGCTGGTTTTGCACCTTGAATTAACAGCACAGAAACAGATTGTTTGGCCTCAACTATTATGCCTCCACCCACAACACACACCCCCCACCCCACTTATCCTGCTATTCTTTTCTCCTCTATGCATTAATGTGGCATTATATCATCAATGCTACCTATCTCAACTACTCCTGGTATTCCACATTTTCACCACACCCTGAGGAAGGAAAGTTTTCCTGAATTTCCAATTGGATTTTTAGTAGTTCTTGGATATCTGTCGCCTTCAGTTGCAGTATGAGTGGAAGCGGCATCTTTACGTTGACCAGATTAACCTCCCCCACTTCAAAATTCAAAAGACCTCAATCAACTCACTCCTCAGTCTCCTCTTTTCTAAAGAAAGTTGTCCCAAATATATTCATGTCTTTTTGACTGAGTCTTAATCTGATTCCATATTGTAGAATATAGAAGTGCATTCATGACCAGTGTGGTCTAAGATACCCTATTTATCCCATTCTCCGTTTTTGAATGGAAATATTACATTGGCAGCTTTGCCACTCTGCAGTATTGCTGTACCTCATTCAACGTTTAATGAAACAATGAATTCACTGAGGCTAGCCCTTTTCATCCCTCCTATGCATTGTATCCCAACATAGGGAAGTCAGGGTCAATCTGCTCCCACATTACTCTGAACAAAATACGGTGCCACTTCCCATCTCTATTGTCCTTCTCTACCTCTGCCTCAAGCAATATCCTGAATTTCATTTACAAAGAATCGTAGCCATTATTATTTTGTTATTTTGGTAATACAAACCACATTCATTTCAAACTGAATTCCAAGAATCAAGAGAGGGGGCAATTGTTATTCCCTGGTCTGGACTTGAAGCCAACTGAAGTCCTCTAATCTAAAGGATAATATATGATCTTATCAGTAAGAAATCTGTTAATGGTGCTTGGTATATCCTGGATACAAATGTGGTGGAATGGAGTAGGGGCTTCAAACCTGCTCCTGCCTGATCCAGGAGTTGGAACAAACCAAGGTGCCCCAGCAATAATAGCAGCTTCACTTCAATGAACAGACTATCATCTTGTGTGTCTGTTTAACTCTCATTCCATATTTGTATGTCTCCAGTTAAATGATGGCAAGAAGTCTATTAGTTGCAGTTTGTCTACTCATCACCTCCTACTTTTCAGCCCTCACTCTCGGCCAGCAGTACCAGTATTGTGTAAAAGAGAACTGAGTCTGTAAGCCACAGTCATCAGTAAATGGTCTTTTCATCAACAAGCCCTACGTAGTGCCTCCCAAAGACTATGACTTTGTGAATCTGGGCTGAACCGCAGGAGTCTCAGAGGAGATCCAGCTCCCTGACATACAGGCCCACTAATGTGCAGTTTCACCCTGGTCCACAAACTAGATTCCCCGCTATGAATAAATTGCCCCATTGCCTGGGTATCTCAGGAGAATAGATGGCTCAGAGTGTTAACTCTGAGAAAAGAATCCTGACTGGAATTCCACAGAGTAACCTGTCATCTGTCAGACAACTGTTGAGCAGCTCCTCCTGCACTGCTGCTGACAAACAGTATTTTTGAAAATTCTTTACGGGACTTGCGTGTCACTGGCATGGTCAACGTTTATTACCCTTCCTTATTGCCCTTGAACAGAATGGCTTGCTCAGGCACTCAGAGAGCGGTTAAGACCACATTGCTGTGGGCCTGGAGTCACGCGTAGGCCAGACCAGCTAAGGATAGCTGGTTTGATTGATTGATATCACATGTACTGAGATACAGTGAAAAGTGTTGGTTTGCGTGTTGTACCTGCAGATTGTACCATACAAAGTGTATCAGGGTCATAGAACAGAGTGCAGAATACGGTGTTACAGTCACAGAGAAGGTGCAGGTTGAACAGGTTGATTTGTACAAAAACAATGATAACCATCATGCTCACCATTTAGCTAACTTTATGCTCCAAATTTTATGAATGTATTTAAATTCAACAAGGTGCTGCCAGGGAGATATGAACCCATGTCCCCAGAGCACTGGCCTGGACTTCTGGGTTATAGGTCAGTGCACTACCCTCTCTCCCAGGACTGTATTGGGTTTATCCTTTCCTCTGAACAATATTAGTAATGTTGAGAGTGTGGGAGACTCCGTTGATTGTATTGTGATGCAGAGAGGGCACTCCAGTGAGGCTCATCACCTCCTGAAGCACCCCACTGAAGTGCAGATTGGTCAAATTTGCAAGACCCTGGATAGTGTTAGTTTTGGTTTCTGTTTACAAAGGATTTGAGAGTGAACATTAACAATGCTGGTGTTTCTTTTCTCTGCCCTTAGCTTCACCGGCCATTCTATGAATCCCTCTTTGCTCTAGCCTGCAGTCCTCGTTCTTTGCAACACCTGTGTCGTTTCGCTGCCAGGAAGCTGTTTGGTGACCAGTGCCACGCCCTTATCCCCAGGCTGCCAATGCCAAAATGTTTGCGTGCATACCTACTCTTGGAGCCAGAGGACCTGGTGTGTTAATGTCCTTCACTCGCATTCTTCCATCATCCCTTTCACTCCACAACATAGCACCAACTGCAAAGTGTCTAAAAGACTGTCTGGAGTCTCCAACATTGGAACCAGAACCAAAGGTTTAAGTTATAATGACAAGTTGCACAGACTAGACTTGTATTCCCTTGAGAATATGACAATTATGGGATGATCTAATTTAGCTGCTTAAGATGATTAAGGGTGTGGATATGTTGATAGAAACTATTGCCCATGGTCAGTGACTCTAGAACAAGTGGCCATAAATATAAAATCAGAACCCAGGAGGGTAAATGCAGTTAAGCTATGCAGCAGCCATTGTTGAACTGACCGGCAGAACAAACTTGAGGGGTTGAATGTCTTTCTCTCATTCCTAACTGCAGAAGAAATCACTAATTCCAGCAGAACAGTTGGAATCACAAAGGCTTGGAAAGATCTTTGACTTAATGGAAGATGCTTCCACATGCAATTGGCAAGAATTATTTCAAATGGTCCTCAAATCATCACCACCCAAGCATTTCTGTGGTTGTGCATAACTTTAGTTTTACCCCAGTTCCTGACCCTTTCCCCCAGTTCCCTCAACCACCCACCTGCACTTCTCCAGGGGCTAGAATCTCTAGCTCAAGATCAGCCTCCTACCAGTAGGAATGTCTTCAGCATCTGCCCAAGTGATTGCCCCTCAAACTGCAGATTAAAGATGAACATTTCACACCAACACAGTTTGTGTCTTCACTCCGAGATTTAGAGCAAAGTTTGCATTTACAGATATGTTTAAACAACCAATTCAGGTATGTTCTGATACACCTCTGGCACAGGTGGGATTTGAACGCAAGTCTCCTAGCCCAGACATTGGACACTACCACTCCACCACAAGAACCCTAAGACGTGCATTTATATAGCACCTTTCACAGGTTCACAGCTTCCCAAAGTCAGTTACAACCAATGAAACACAACCATTATTGCGTTGTTGAAACTGCAACCGCCGGTTTGCTCAGAGTAGGGAGTAGGACTCTCACAAACAGAAATGTGATAACGATCAGATCATCTGTTTTAGCGACATTGATTGAGGGATACGTTTTGGTCACGACATCAGGGAGAGCACCCCTAATCTTTTTTTTTGAAATTGTGCTGCAGGAACTTTCATGTTCACCTGAGAGAGCTTATGCACCTTATTAATTATCTCATTAGAGAGCTGTACAGCATTTCCTCAGTGCTGCATCGGCTAAGATTATCTACGCCCGTCTCTGAAATGGCGATTGAACCAGCTACCTGTTGGCTCAAAAACAAATGTTAACCACTGAGCTAGATCTGACACGACTCCATCACAGGGCACCACGCTCAGATACAGGACCATTAACATGAACATTAACACAAAGGCTCTCCAATAGAGGTCAATTACGATGACAAGTCAGTAATCAAGAAGTCACAGCAGAAGTATTTTCTTCCTCTCGCTGCTTAGTTTCAGGTACTTTTTTTTAAGCAGATGTACAGGTAGCTATGTTCTGTGATCAACTCTCCCACTGCAGCTGCAGGAGTCGGTTTGATGTGATCTCTCAAATGGAAGTTGGAAAATATTTTAACCTTGTTTAATAAACATGGATGCAACAGATCAAATCACAATGTTGCAGTGACTGTTTGTAATGCCTATGCACACATATATAGCATGTTCAGAGCTGAGAAGATATCAGTATTGAGATTACATTTTCATTTACAATACAAATGTGGGTGTCTGTACTGTCTGATTCGAAACAACATAAGATTTTTAACCTAAGTTTTTTGTCTTAGCAAATGTAAGAATAAAAGTACGTACTGTTTCCTGTTTCATTTCCAGTGACTGTCTTATTGTTCTCTCTAATCAAAGGGAGAGAGCCTTCCTAATTATAATGTTGTCATGTCGCGCGATGACTTTTTCAGGTTCCTCCCGTTAGTGAGCTATACGGTGTACCTAGCTCGAATGTTCCGTGGTGTCCTTGCCTTGCCTCGATCTGCCCTGCAGAGGGCAATGAAGCCGCGGGATTTCAAATCGCTCCCAGCTGACCCTTGAAGGAATGCACGTCGATGTGGACCACATCATTGGCGCAATGAAAGACGTTTCGCAACCTCTACAAAAAAACATTGAAAGATATCCTCCGTTCTTGTCGCATTGCAACGGCCTGTTTGAACTATCTTGGTGTTAAACCTTTAAAAATCATATATAAGCACTTCATTAAAAAAAAACAGGTTTTGTTGGAGATAGTAAGAACTGCCATGCTGGAGTCTGAGATAACAAGGTGTGGAGCTGGAGGAACACAGCAGGCCAGGTAGCATCAGAGGAGCAGGAAAGTTGACATTTCGGGTCGGGACCCTTCTTCAGAAATGGGGAGGGGAAGGGGGTTCTGAAAAAAAAAGGGGGGGGGGGGGCGTTGTTGGATATTTGAAGAACCGACAATGCAAGTCATTACTGCCCATCTCCATATGGATATGGGAAATATAGATATGTTTGCTCTGTATAAACAATGTGAATATATCATTTTAAGTTGTCTTAGTGTTTAGGATGAGCGGGTGATGTGTGATGTGTCAATGAAAAGTCTGTCAGAGCCAGGACTCATTAATATGGGGTTCAGCTCAAACCTTAATGGAATGGTGACAACTCGTGTCAGACAGGGAAAAGCTAACGGAATAAGATCCAAAGGCTTGTGCTCCAATTTTTATATATCATGGGCATGTTGTTGTTCTTGTGTAAGTACCAGGTGGCACTATACCTGAAACAAAAACAAAAAGTGAATTTAATCGCACAGTCATTAGACAAATAGTGTACCAGACATTTTTGAAATTGTAAATCATTACCCCAAACGCATCAATATAGGAACTGGAGTCTTAATGATTTATGATAACATTAGAGCACGTTCAGGGAGAATATGCCATTTTTTCCCCTCATCAAAAATTCTCTCTCTCGGCAGCATGTGTGGAGAGAGAGGGAGCAGAACTGAAGTGTCCAGAAGGGTCACTGGACTCGAAACGTTAACTCTTGTTTTTCTCTCTCTACAGATGCTGCCGGACCTGCTGAGTTTCTCCAGCAATTTCTCTCTTGTAAACAAAAAGAAATTCTGTTTTGAAAGAAATGCGGGAAAAGTCACCGGACTCTCGGCTGTCCTGGCGTCAATCTCAGGGAAATCGCAACCTTGTCCCTCAACCGAAAAAAAATGTCAGCCTCCTGTATGTTTCAGCAAGTAGTTTCAAACATTTTTATTTGGCAAAATTAAACTTCTGTGTGGCCACAACTTTCCAAAACGAGCCTAATTAAATTGGAAGGATGGGGTTGTGGGGGTGGTGGGGTGGGGGCTGGGGATGAAGGCAGAGGGTAAGGGTTTGGCTGGGGGAATGGAAACATTAACAAGACGATGTATTTAATTGTCATGGGGATTTGCCGGATAATGACACGAATCGACGGGCAGTATTATATGAAAAAAGTCATTCTATTTCACCCTCCGCGTCTCGTCTTTCTAATAATATTTAACACGCCAAGTAAGAGGCAAAACACTTTGTCGATTTAAAATGCATTAGCATTAATATAAATTCGTGGCATTACACGGAATGCGGCAAATTGCAAATATTTTGAGAGAGAATTTTTGATGAGGGGAAAAAATGGCATATTCTCCCTGAACGTGCTCTAATGTTATCATAAATCATTAAGACTCCAGTTCCTATATTGATGCGTTTGGGGTAATGATTTACAATTTCAAAAATGTCTGGTACACTATTTGTCTAATGACTGTGCGATTAAATTCACTTTTTAAATGACCCATGACTCATTTCATGGTAATATGTGAAGTCTATGTGTTTCAATCCGTCATATGTAATTGAATAACACTGCGTTTAGGATGTCTCAGACTGAATGTAGTGCAGCTTTTAAAAAAGCTAATGCCTAACTTGGGAGTTTGCCACTTTTCCGCCGCTTCAAACTTACATCAATTCCCCAGGCGACATCCGAAGGTGACATGGCGGAAGTAATGACACTTTTTTTATGTGTGATAGCCACTCTATAACCCATGGAGGGGATCGGGGGGAGGACTGAATGGCAATGAGCCCATCTTGCAGGAAGTGGCAGAAAGGAGGCGACTGTGTATGAAATCGTTTTGTAAAAATAATTGTTGCAAACAAAAATCAACCTCAAATCTTCCTTCAGTTAAAGGCTCTGTGCTGCGGTGCTGTCGCTGGCCGGTTTGGGAGCCCGTTTGGTTTGTGATAAGAGAGAGCAAAGAGCAGAGATTCTTTGTAAAACTAGCCCCTTGTTCCCTACAACAAACAACCCCCATCACGAAATCCCGTTTTAATCTCCGTTTATCCTTCATTTCTGCACATGACATTTTCGAAGCTGGTCCGAAGCGTCACCTCAAATGCTCAATTCGCCACCGATATCGATGTGTGTTATACAGACGGACAGCTAATGTTTTCGAATATTTGTGCAAATTTGAATCTTTTATAAATCTGGCGGCCTCAATGAGAAACGAAAGGCGCTTTCTTGCTAATATGAAAACAGGCTTTTTTTTTGTTTTGTTCGGAAAACTATTTGATTCGGCAAAAAGCGGACCGCCACGATTTCAGACAGGATGATAACAAGGAGTAGCCTTAATCACTGGAACACGTTGCTGGGTCGTAAAACCTCGCCAATGTCCTGGGAGATCAGTGTCTGCAGGTCTAGGATGGACGGTTTTAATGCCTTGAGAAGCTCATTCACGGCAGCAGCTACGCTGTAATATAGCTGAATTGTGACTTCCCTGCACTTTTAAAAGTGTGCATTCCCTAGATGGGGAATAGGACGGGCGGCTGAAGGAGAGAGGGGTGATAGTCACATTGGACACCAACACAGACATGGTTAATATTTGACCGATCTATGAAATTTCTTTCCCCCCACCCCACGATGACTGCGTCAGGTGGAAAACTGATAGACGGATCAACTCTCTACTTCTCGCTTACGGGGGACTTTTTTCGCGGGCTGTTTATTCAACGATCGC